TGAGGGGAAGATGCCCGTGGCGGGGATGGCAGAGAACTCTTTCAGCTTCAAGAAGCTCCTGGAGCAGTGCGAGACCCAGGAGCTTGAGGTACCGCGGGGCGGGGGCCGCGCTACTGGGACGGGCGCGGGGGCGGCGGGGGCATGGCCGAGGCCCCGTGTGCTCCGGCCAGCCTTCGGGGCTTGGTGCCGCTCCGCAGTGCCAGTGAGTTTGGGCACAAGCGTTTCCAGCCGCTGCGGGGGGCGGTGTGGGTCAGGGCCTGTTGCGGGAAAGTGCTGTTTTGAGGGCCTAATCCAGCCCTGCAAGGAAGGATGTTCGTGGCTCTCTGTGTCTGTTTTTGTGAGGCTGGTGAGGTTTCAGTCTTTAAACTTGCCGCTGGTGCAAAAACCCGCCAAAATGCTTCTCAGAAACTTGTGAAGCTGCAGATAAATAAATGAGTGCATTTAGTATAAATGCTATGATCTTTGGAGGGGTGTGTGTGAGAGAGAGAGAAGTTCATATGCACCTACATGTCTTGTATGGTTGAAAAAATAAGGTACTGAAAAGAGGAGCAGGGCACTGAATTACTTTTAAATCAATGGTGCGCTTGTTATAGGAGCTTACATGGGAAGCTTTCTCTGTGCTGTTTTAAATTCTGTTGCTTGATGAGTTTTCAAGTCTGTGTGCACTGTTAGTGTGCCAGACCCCAGGCTGTGGTACATCCAAGTGGCACCATGTTAATGCTAAAAGCTCTTCCTGGGTAATATCCGAAGATGCTTTCTTGTCTTGCAGTTTCCAGTGCTTTTCTAAATGTGAAACTCATGCATCCTGCTGTAGCCATTTGAAAGAAGGAAAAACTTTCAATTTTCTGTTTTTTAGATCTTGCTACCCTAGCAATTGAAGACAGAGAGCTGTTCCAGTGTGTGATCACTTACCACAGCAAAACTTTGGTGTTGGCAAACCATATGGCTTTGCAATGGAAAATATAATCCTTAAATGGAAGGGGTCCCTATTTATGGTGTACGTCATCAAGCTTCAGTTAATGTTTCTGTGCACTATTTCTGTGCTGAGCCCAGGTGCCTCTCGTGTCCTCAGCATGGTGCTGCAGCTTCTTGGTATGCCTGGAGTTCTGTGGAAGATTGTTATGGAGCTGGAGGGAGATTGTTGTGCTGAAAATATGAGCTACCTGCTGCCTCAAGTGATGGCCATGTGAGCATAGAGAAGCAGAAAGTGCCCTTGTACTGTGTGAGAGAGTTGACTGTGGTTAGCCCTTCCCGCTGGGAGCTGTTTCGTACTTCCTTTGAAGGTGTGTTCCTATCCTTCAGAGGAGCACATGTGTACAGCACTTACTGTTAAGGTGTGTATTAGGGAAGCGTGGGTAGAGGGATATAGTTAGGGTTATGAGACCACAACATGTGTTAACAGTCACTGAATGGTTTCCCATTACGGGATGTCTTTCTATAAATAGAGTTACCTTTTTATTCCTCATTCAGATTAACAAGCTTCAAAACAGTGGTTGATACTTGTTTCGGGCAATCTGTTTGAACCTGGCTTGCAATGGCTTTGGCTGCCTTTTTGGCCTCTGCGGAGGGGTGAGAGGGTTGTGTCAGGTTGAGTTCTGAGGGACAGGGATGGAGCTCAGCAAGGCTTGGGTTTTGCGTCTGCAGCCATCTGAGGAAGTTCAACGCACCCTCCTCACTTACCTGCTGCAGAGCGTGTGGTGTTGGACCTTGGTGGGTCCCTGGGAGCTGTTACAAAGCCACTGAACTTAGACTGCCCTCTGCTCAAGGTTTCTGCTGTGTCTGTCAGCAGACCTTCCTAGAGTAAATGGCAGAAGATGCACCCCTGGCAACTTGTTCTCAAATGCTTTTACAAAGCCGGTAAGTTATTTGCTGTGCGTGTTTCCATCCACATCAAGATTCTCGTGGGCACACTGATATCTGCTGACAGCCTTTGTGTTTCAGATCATGAGTTCATATGTAGGCTGATTTTTTTTTTGTGCAGGCTAGAGGCAGCCACAGAGCTTCCTTCAGTGAGACTGTACATTGTAAATCTAGATGTTTTGGTGGTAGTTAGCTTTCCCTTCTGTTCTGCTAGTCTTCTGGCAGAAAAACTAATGAATTTTCTTTTTAGTACAGAGAAACACCAAAGCTGAACTTATACAGTTCAAACAGGTGGTATTAATTGACCTGGCTTTGTTTTACTGGCCATAATCCAAGGAACAGTTGCAGAAACTGTTATATTTGTATGTGGGTGATGAGCCCTGGAAACAGCATAAGAATGGCTGGGGATGATGGTATCTGCTCCACGACACAGCTAATCACCTGGTTTTGGCTTAGATGAGCCTATAAATCATGCATGTAATTAAATCAAATAGCTGCATAATTGGCTTCCTGTGAGTGCTTGCTGCACTACCCTTTGATAAATTGCTAAAACCTTATTGGAAATCTTTTCAGCTTTTAAATGATTATAGACCTTCAAAATTTTATAACTTTATTCTAATTCATTTTTTCTACTTGCATGATTTGTGAGGTCTGCTGAAATGTGGTAAGTGTCAAAGCTTAGTTTAGCTTTGTAAGAAGAGCAGTTCAAGTGAGCAAAAAAACTTTACTCTGGTGGAGTGTCCTGAATTGAACTGAACTTCAGTTCAAGATAGATGAGTGCCTAAAAACAGCTGTTTGTGTGGAACTGTGAAGTGAGATGGTTGCCACTTTCATGAGTATAAGCTAGATCATTAGAAGGATGTAACCTTAGTTTATTCATGCAGGAGAACAAGCTAAGTTTTCTAAGAAAAGCTTCTGGCATGTGTAAGTTAACTCTTCATTGCAAGGTACAATTGTATTGCTATAACATTGTAGCTCTGGCAATTTGTCCAGATCTATTATGTGGTGTGAAAAACATTAACTGTCTTGGAATGTTCAGATTTCGTTAAACTGGGCTACTTGGTGTATTTTGTAAGATATCTTGTTCTTAAAAATATGTAACCAAATTATTTGTATTGTTTTTTAGGCCCCTGGAGGAATTGCAACACCCCTTGTTTATGGCCAACTTCTAGCTTTATACCTGTTGCATAATGACATGTAAGTGACTTGTATTAATCTTTAACTTCAGATACCGAATTTGTAACTATTAGCTTGAGCTGTAGTTGCCAGAATATTAGTAATTAGTTGTGTGACTAACAAAATCCATGTAGGCAGTTTTTTTAAAAAAAAATAATAATGGAATAAAGTCTCTTTCACCCCTTGCTCTGCCAGGAAAATGATTCTCCTTTGCTTGCTCCTGCCCACTTTTTTGAACTGT